AAAACAAATATATAATATATATATATATATATAATTATAGCAACATAGTATGAGTTTGAACACCAAACGACTAAAACGGGCCTTGTTCCCCTAAGATCCAGTGTTAGACAAGACCTAGCGTTTAGGGTTTAGGTAGACCATGCCAGATGTATGCCTTGATCTCATACAGAGTCGGGCAATGCAGCTGCAAAACAACTGTACACCCTAAACCTAAACCCTAAACCCTAAACCTAAACCCTAAACCCTAAACCCTAAACCCTAAACCCTAAACCGTACGGCATGGGGCCGGGATGAGGCGCGTTGCCTCCTCCCCTCCCCACCTGGGCCCCGCACCGGATTTGGCACGTACTTCTTTGGTACGCCGTTCCCTGAAGCTTCAGACCACTGCTTCCTGGGAGGGGTTTAGGGTTTAGGGTTTGGGGTTTGGGGTTTTGGGTTTAGGGTTTAGGGTTTTGGGGTTTTGGGTTTAGGGTTTGGGGTCCGGGAGCTCTGTGGGATTCAGGCCAAAGGCTGAGAGAAAAAACGACGGAGAGGCTAAGGCGAACTAGGCCTAATGTAGAGGCCTTCATAATTAGAATAACGTTTTGGGCTCCGTTATAGTATAGTTATAATAAGGAACCCCAAAATAGTGTTGATGATGATTTCGGCCCCCTATAGTATGCATCCTTCCATGATCAAATGCCAACGACACCGATCGAAAAGCTAGGATCCGGGAGCCTTTAGTGCCGGAGAAGGGTCAAAATTAGCATATCGCCGGTCGGAACGTGAACGGCGCAGCCATCGCTCCTTCCATTCTGCTGCTGACATGGAGGTCCCACTCCCAGGGGGCTACGAAACCGACCCAATTCCGCAAGATCATGAAGGCCACATCACACAGTACTGTAAAGCATAGAGTTTAGGGTAGGCAGGAGACATACAACACGATGCTGAACTCCTCTTTCAGCAAACTTCCGACTGGCTCTCCCGTGCTAGCTTGCTTCAACACCTACAGACTCCAAGTAAGCACTTCCACAGCAACCCTCGGCCGCGACAGCACTAAACTAAAGAGCCTGCGCACCACTAAATCCCTACATCCCAGGCCCTCGTTCCCAATGAAAAGAATCGTAAACCTCAAAAAAAAACCAGAGCCACAGGGCTTCGCCTGAGCAGGGCTGCGTGGAAGGTGCCGGCCTCGAAGCAACAAACAACGTGAAGATCTTTATGTCTAGCTCGGGGCTAAGGGTTTAGGGGTTCAGGGTTTAGGTTTTTTCATTTTTTTGTCACCTCTTTTCCACCTGCCTGGTTAAGTTAGGTCGAATGCCAATTTGGCGGAGGTTTAGGTTTTTAAGGCTTTGGGTTATTGTAGGGGGATCATCCCTTCCCTCGACAATTCAATCCCCCCTGGCCCAGCATGAACCCGAAGACTTTAACTTGGCCAAGACTATACAGTACAATTAGGCCTGTGAGGGCGGGACTGGGGATCGCCCCAAGAATTGGGACGGTTCAGGGCTGAGGGCTTGGGGTTAAGGTTTGGGGGTTTTAGGGTTCAAGGGGCCTGAACTAAGTAATTAGTAAACCCGTATCGACCGCGAGGTTCGGTTTAGGGATGATCCCAACAACCGAAAACTTACGATTGCAAGAGCGAATGTGCTAGAGATACTAGAACTTGTGAGTTGAGATCCTGTCCCTCTCAGATGAAAGGTTCTCTTAAGACTGCAAGAACAGCAGCAAGCAGGGCCCGCAAGAACGTAGGACCGTAGGTCTGCGGCCTGTCAAAGTTCAAAAGGTTTGTCTATTTTTGCACGGACAATAATATGGCGAAGCGGGACTCATTGGACGTTACCGCTCTAACCACATGCTTAGAGTGCGAAGCGTGCAGGGAAGGTGGGCTGGTCGCCTACTGAAGGTCGAGAGTTGGCTTAGTAGAGACATACAATAACTTTGATGCAGTCACGGTACCAGTAACTCAACAGGAACCACTGTTGCAAACCTTGGAGTACGTTATATACATGCGAATTCTTTCTTCAAGCCCCTGCTTTGCTTGCCCAGTCGCGGCCGCCCGGGTGTACGAGAGACCTGGTGGCAGTTCCGGGAGCTCGTACCTCAAACGGCTTTGGGTTTACGCTCTCTCAACTCGGCACAGGCAGGTCAGATCTCTCGGTTCGCAGTCGGTTTCAACAAGGCTCTCGGAGAGGACCGGCTCCAAGCCCTTGAAGGAAGTAAGACCAAACTGCAATGCCGCACGAAGGCGTGGAAATTGCCACAGACAGAAAGGCTTCCCACAAACTTTAACTTTCCCCTAGGGGGTTATAAACGGTTTCGATTCTCGCACTCGCAGGAGGTCCACTCTAAACCCCTAAACCCTCAACCCTTAACCCGAAGCCTTAAACCCTAAACCCCTGAAGGAGGCTTCAGGGTCCTCAATACTGGGCACTCAAGGCCTTGATGTGCGCTAGCAGGCCAAGGCACGGTTGAGGGTTCAGGGTCCCCTGCTCCACAAAGCAGTCATCCACTACACGCAAGCATGTGGGGCCGAAGTGTTGAGAACAAGGCTCTGGCGACTACTATACCGTGTTCTCGTGTTTGCAGATCAGTGGAGACTGGCTGCATTGATTTGCTATTTTGAAGTTGAGGCTGGAGCCTGTTTAAATTTCAGTGATGTCTTGCACGCCTCTTGCTCAGGTGTAACCTATACCATCACCTTCTGCCGAGATGCTGCTCATCACCGTACCTCGGCGCTGAGCTCTCACTTCAAGCGTTGCTGGTTGAGTGCAATATGGGGGCCTTAATAATTAGAATTGCGGGGCCCAATATACTATAACTATAATAAGGAACCCCCAAAATTAGTGTTGGTAATAATTTGGCCCCTACATAGGATGAAGCGCCTTTATCCGCGAATACGGCTTTAGGGCTGTGTGCTACGATACGCGGCTCTACAGCTGGGAATGCGAGTTGTTTAAGCTTCTATCTACCAGCGTCGGGCTCCGTGAGGAAAGCCGAAGGTTCAACCGGAAGCGTCCCGGCAGGTGTTGTCAGGAATTTAAAGTTACGAAAACAAGCATACTCCGACGAAACGACGAGGACGTGTCTGTATGTAACTATGTACATAACCGTATATACACCCACTATTTTCCCTCTTGCCCTGCCGAAAGCCACGAGGTAAAGACTAGCCAACTCTCCTTCCGCCACCCACTGTATGTCTATCTGTGTTGACCTCAGATCTACACTTGCTCCTGTCCCTCGAGGTACTCCTGGATAGCAGCAGTTGAGCTGAGGCGTGGTGGCGGCAGAAGCAGTCGTCGTCTTCGTACTAGAAATAATACTAGCACTAGTACTAGTGCTAGTACT